TCTATCTATCTATCTATCTATCAATCTATCTATCTATCTATCTATCTAATCTATCTATCTATCTATCTATCTATCTATCTATCTATCTATCTATCTATCTATCTAATCTATCTATCTATCTATCTATCTATCTATCTATCTATCTATCTATCTATCTATCTATCTATCTAATCTAATCTAATCTAATTATCTATCTATCTATCTATCTATCTATCTATCTATCTATCTATCTATCTATCTATCTATCTATCTATCTATCTATCTATCTAATCTATCTATCTAATCTAATCTAATCTAATCTAATCTATCTATCTATCTATCTATCTATCTATCTATCTATCTAATCTAATCTAATCTAATCTAATCTATTCTATCTATCTATCTATGTGTAAATTGAGTATCTGGGTTTCCGCTTGGTGTCCGCTTGGTTTCCCTTCAAAAGCCAAGCAGAACGGGGTTCCCGGACGTCAGGAGCCGGGGGTGCCGGAGCCCGGAGCGCCCGGAGCGCCCGCAGCGCCCGGAGCGCCCGCCCGGCGGCGCAAGAAGCGGCCCAGGCAGCTGGACGGAGCTGACCCTGTGCGGCTGTCAGGCGAGCTGGGATTCACTGGGACTTTCTCGGGGTTTTTCCGGGATGCCTAGAAGGTTTTGTTTTTTGTTTTTTTTGTTTGTGTTTTTTTTTTTGAGGGGGGGGGGGACGTTCTCGCATGTTTGTTTGCGGATTCTCTTGTGGCGCAGGCACCATTTGCGCTGCAGAGTGGTTGGGGGAGGAGCGCGAGGAGCGATCCCTCGAAGCCTTCCGGTCTTGCAACCTGAGAGCTGGTGTCAGGAAGCTGCGCCGGATGCTGAATCAGAAGAGGCAAATGTCTCTGAGGCGCTAAAGTGCACACAAAGCACGGGTGATTTTCATTGTCCCAGGCGGCTCCTTCGCAAGACGCCGAGACCGCAGAGGATCTATTCGGGTCCTCCTACTTCGATGACGAACTTGCTACGTGGCATCTGTTTTTCAGTTCCGAGCTTGGGCTAAATGAAAGCCTGTTTGCATCAACAAAGAAAGTTTAGAGGAATTTCAAGAGTGCTGGAACTAATTGAGCTAGCTCTCTCCAACAATGCGTGCACCTGCGATCTTTCAAGCCTAGACGGAGTGGTGAACGGAGTGGTGAACGGAGTGGTGAACGGAGTGGTGAACGGAGTGGTGAACGGAGTGGTGACGGAGTGGTGAAGTGGTGAACGGAGTGGTGAACTTTGTGAGTGAGTTCGGCCCTCCTGCATATGCGCAAACCACCTCGGTTTTAACGCCAGTACGGAAGCAAGAAAAGAGAGACGAGAAAGAGAAATTGCAGAGAAAGAGAAACTGAAAGAGAAAGAGAAAGAAAGAAAGAAGAGAAAGAGAACCAGACACAGAAACAAAGACAAACAATAAAGAGACAGAGAAAGAGGAAGAGAAAGATATAGAATTGAGTGAAGAAGAAGACAAAAGGAAAAGAGCACACAAAGAGAATTGAAAAAAAAAGATCATGCAAAAGAGAAAGGAGAAGAGAAAGAGCAGGAGAGACAATGACGAGAAAGAAAGAGAAAGGGAAGAGATAGAAAGAGAGAGGGAGAGAAAGAAAGGGGAAGAGAAGCGTGTTCCAACCAGTGCCGGCAATCCTTGATTGGGAGATGCCGATGTCAAACTAAGCAAAAGCAACGGAATGTTTCGGAGCATCCTGGGCGCAAGAAACTCAGTGGACAACGCCAGGGACCAAAGCCGGGGATGGACGGAAGGGTTTGCACCCGCACATTTCCCGAAACCTGCCAGCGACAAGCCGCCTCGCGGCCAGAGCTCGCAGAAGCAAGAGCCACAAGTGTCAAGCTCCCCGAAGACCGACCGAGAGGAACGCAGCAACAGTTTTTCCTGAAAGCCTTCGGCTTTGGGGATTCCGAAGACCCATTGAATCTGGTGAGATCACGCTTGACTAGCGTTTTTTAGCGTCGGCAGCGTAGCACTTTTTTTGGCCGAGTCGCTATTGGCTATGTTTAAAAGTGGCCAGGGAAAGCTGCATAGGAAAATGAGAGCAGAAGAGCCTCCTAAGGTCCTAACAGCTCAACGCCCAAACCCGAGCGTCAGAAGTTGTTGCGGCCAGCGACTGCTTTTGTGAAGCAAAGCATGCCAGTCACGCAGAACTTGAATGTTGGAACTAGGTGACTGCAAGTTGGAAGTGATACTCGTGGCACCAGTGACAAAGCAAGACAGCCGTTTGGAAGGAGCGCTTGCTTGTGCGGCTGTTGCCGTTTGACTTCGCCTTCAGGTTTCAGCTGCGGCGGATCGCTTGCCGGCCGTGCCGCAGAACACGACCTTTCCGGCGGCATGGGTGCCCAGAGTGCGCAGAGCTTTGCAGATTCAGCGAGCATGACAAGTAGGAAGGAGCAGGCATGACGTAACAGGCATGGCAGGCAGGAGTGGACAGGGCGGGCATGGTCAAGATGCAGGGACCCACATATCCCAGAGGTCAGCACGCGCGACCACGCATGCAGTATGGTCGCCGTGGCTGTTGGGGTCACAGGGCAAGCAGCGAGGGCCATAGGGGACTGGTGGCGCACCATAGTAGCGGAAGCCAGTGAAACCCAAAAAACATGGCCATGAAGCTGACCTCCCTCCTGGCCATGTGCCTGGGGAGCGTGAAAGCTCTGAGCCCGGGGGACTGTGCGTTCGTGGCAGTCTTCGCAGATGAGCCAAGCCAGGTTGGACTGCTGCTACTTAAGGACTTGGAGGACGAGGTCTTCGTGACTGACCGGGGGCTGACGGCAGAGGGTTCCCTGAACCAGGTGGGCTCAACAAGGCACCACAAGGGCCAGGTGGCCGCCGGCACGGTGCTGAAGAGCAAGGACTTTGACGGGGAAGGCGGCTCCATCTCTGGCGACCACCTCGTGGCCTACACGGGCTCCCCGGAGTCACCTACGCTCCTATGCGCGGTGCACAGAAATGGAGGACCTTGCCTGTCGTATCCCCTGGCGCGCGTATGCTGTCTGGGCCTGGAAGGGAACTGGCATGTCCCGCCGCAGTAGTCCCCTTGGGCCAGGAGTCCGGACATAGCCTTCACAACTGCCGGCCTCGGCAACCGGCGTGGAATGAGCTGCGTGCGGGGCCAGATCAATTGCACAGGAGCCTAGTTGGACGAGTCGGAGAAAACGTCCGCGGAGGCCCGAATGACGGCCGCATGCCTCAGCAGCTTTTCGTCATGCGCAGAGCGGTGGCCAACACCCCCACCACTGTCGAGACCCAGAAACCACGACGCTTCATGCAAAACCAGCACGAGCATTAAATGACAACGAGCTGCCCACCACGAAGTTACTCCCACCATGGAAACGACTGCAGGGACCACTGGGACAACGGCCGGGACCACCATGACAACCGCTGCTCCGACTACAACAGCTCTTGGAGAGGAGCCGCCCAGTGCTGCGGTGAATGCCATGGCAGGGGTGCCTGTGCTGCTGGCTCTCCTGAGCCTGGCGTGAGCTCCCAGATTTGGTTCAGGACAATGTTCTTGACGATTTGGGCTGCTTCATTATATTTTCTCAAAGCAGCTGCATAGCACAACTAAAACGATGGGAGAACAGGGGAGCCGATCAACGCAACATCGACGAGCATTATGTTCAGCAGCGGCCCCAGTGATGCAAAAGTGATGTTGGTGATTCGGCGAAATTTTGCTAGAGCCGTCTCTGATTCTCTGCCCCATCGGGCAGAAGTCGGCGCCCTGCAAATGTTCAGAGTCCCCTGACGCCAAAAGGGCAAAAAGGAGGCCAAAAGCGCCAAAAATAGTGACATTCTGATGAGGGGGCAACCACTGAGTAGTCCATAAAGTGCCGAGCAGGGAACAACACACTGTGCTTCGCAAAGATGATAGTTGTTGTCCTGCTTACGCTCATTGAACGCCTCGGCGCCCTCTTGTATTGGCTCTGCATTCCCTGGGTGAGTCCACGCACTCATGTTTAGGCCTGGCCACATTACAGCACTCCAGGAGTTGCATCGAGCATGTCACAACATCATCCCACATTCCGGCACTCTCCGGGGTGAGGCTGACGTGTTTCCTCGCCCTGAGCGCTGCATCGCGTTTGCCTTCAGGTTTCAGCTGCGGCGGATCGTTTGCCGGCCGAGCCGCAGAACGCAGCCTCTCCAGCGGCATGGGAACTCAGAGTGCGCAGAGTCTTTGCCGATTCAGCTGACATGTAGCTAGGAGCAAGCATGGCATACCTAACAGGCATGCGTAGGAGTGGACATGGCGGGCATGGTCAGGATGCAGGGACCCACAATATCCGAGGGTCAGCACGCACGACCACGCATGCAGTATGGTCGCCGTGGCTGTTGGGGTCACAGGGCAAGCAGCGAGGGCCATAGGGGACTGGTGGCGCACCATAGTAGCGGAAGCCAGTGAAACCCAAAAAACATGGCCATGAAGCTGACCTCCCTCCTGGCCATGTGCCTGGGGAGCGTGAAGGCTCTGAGCCCGGGGGACTGTGCGTTCGTGGCAGTCTTCGCAGATGAGCCAAGCCAGTTTGGACTGCTGCTACTTAAGGACTTGGAGGACGAGGTCTTCGTGACTGACCGGGGGCTGACGGCAGAGGGTTCCCTGAACCAGGTGGGCTCAACAAGGCACCACAAGGGCCAGGTGGCCGCCGGCACGGTGCTGAAGAGCAAGGACTTTGAAGGGGAAGGCGGCTCCATCTCTGGCGACCACCTCGTGGCCTACACGGGCTCCCCGGAGTCACCTACGCTCCTATGCGCGGTGCACATGGAGGACCTGTCGTCCCCTGGCCGCATGCTGTCTGGCCTGGAGGAAGGCATGTCCGCAGTAGTCTTGCCGGAGTCCGACAATGCCTTCTACACTGGCCCGGCCGTCGGCACGGTGGATGAGCTGCGTGCGGCCATCAATGACAGGAGCCTGTGGACGTCGGAGAACGTCCGGCCCGATGACGGCCGCATCCTCAGCAGCTTCGTCATCCAGAGCAGTGCCAACACCACCACTGTCGAGACACAGACCACGACCTTCATGCAAAACAGCACGAGCATGACAACGACTGCCACCACGATGTTCTCCACCATGGAAACGACTGCAGGGACCACTGGGACAACGGCCGGGACCACCATGACAACCGCTGCTCCGACTACAACAGCTCTTGGGGAGGAGCCGCCCAGTGCTGCGGTGAATGCCATGGCAGGGGTGCCTGTGCTGCTGGCTCTCCTGAGCCTGGCGTGAGCTCCCATATTTGGTTCAGGACAATGTTCTTGACGATTTGGGCTGCTTCATTCGCAAGCAGCTGCATAGCACTACGATGGGAACAGGGGAGCCGATCACGCCATTATGTTCAGCATGCCAGTGATTGCAAGTGATTGTTGGTGATTGGCAAATTTTGCTCCGTCCTGTTCTGCCCATCGGTCGGCGACCTGCAAATGTTCAGAGTCTGTCGGCCAAAAGGCAAAAAGGCCAAAAGGCCAAAAGGCCAAAAGGCAAAAAATGACATTCTGAGGGGCATCCACTGAGTAGTCCAAAAAGTGCCGAGCAGCAACACACGTGCTTCGCAGATCCCTGCTGAATGTCATAGGCCAGTTGGCGTTCTGTGCAATGAGGGCCTCATCGATCAGGGTGAGTCCACGCACTCATGTTTAGGCCTGGCCACATTACAGCACTCCAGGAGTTGCATCGAGCATGTCACAACATCATCCCACATTCCGGCACTCTCCGGGGTGAGGCTGACGTGTTTCCTCGCCCTGAGCGCTGCATCGCGTTTGCCTTCAGGTTTCAGCTGCGGCGGATCGTTTGCCGGCCGAGCCGCAGAACGCAGCCTCTCCAGCGGCATGGGAACTCAGAGTGCGCAGAGTCTTTGCCGATTCAGCTGACATGTAGCTAGGAGCAAGCATGGCATACCTAACAGGCATGCGTAGGAGTGGACATGGCGGGCATGGTCAGGATGCAGGGACCCACAATATCCGAGGGTCAGCACGCACGACCACGCATGCAGTATGGTCGCCGTGGCTGTTGGGGTCACAGGGCAAGCAGCGAGGGCCATAGGGGACTGGTGGCGCACCATAGTAGCGGAAGCCAGTGAAACCCAAAAAACATGGCCATGAAGCTGACCTCCCTCCTGGCCATGTGCCTGGGGAGCGTGAAAGCTCTGAGCCCGGGGGACTGTGCGTTCGTGGCAGTCTTCGCAGATGAGCCAAGCCAGTTTGGACTGCTGCTACTTAAGGACTTGGAGGACGAGGTCTTCGTGACTGACCGGGGGCTGACGGCAGAGGGTTCCCTGAACCAGGTGGGCTCAACAAGGCACCACAAGGGCCAGGTGGCCGCCGGCACGGTGCTGAAGAGCAAGGACTTTGAAGGGAAGGCGGCTCTATCTCTGGTGACCACCTCGTGGCCCACGGCTCCCTCGGAGTCACCACGCTCCTCTGGTGCGCGGTGCACATGGAGGATCTGCCCGCACTGGCCGCATGCTGCCCGGCCGCATGTTGGCTTCCCACCCTGCGAAACCCAATGCTGATAGCCTAAACTCTACGCTCACTTCTCATCTTGCACACGGTGGATGAGCTGCGTGCGGCCATCAATGACAGCCGAGCCTGTGGGACGTTTGAGAACGTCCGGGCCCGATGACGGCCGCATCCTCAGCAGCTTCGTCATCCAGAGCGGTGCCAACACCACCACTGTCGAGACACAGACCACGACCTTCATGCAAAACAGCACGAGCATGACAACGACTGCCACCACGATGTTCTCCACCATGGAAACGACTGCAGGGACCACTGGGACAACGGCCGGGACCACCATGACAACCGCTGCTCCGACTACAACAGCTCTTGGGGAGGAGCCGCCCAGTGCTGCGGTGAATGCCATGGCAGGGGTGCCTGTGCTGCTGGCTCTCCTGAGCCTGGCGTGAGCTCCCATATTTGGTTCAGGACAATGTTCTTGACGATTTGGGCTGCTTCATTCGCAAGCAGCTGCATAGCACTACGATGGGAACAGGGGAGCCGATCACACCATTATGTTTAGCATGCCAGTGATTGCAAGTGATTGTTGGTGATTGGCAAATGTTGCTCCGTCCTGTTTTGCCCATCGGTCGGCGACCTGCAAATGTTCAGAGTCTGTCGGCCAAAAGGCCAAAAGGCCAAAAATGACATTCTGAGGTGCACAGGGTGAGTCCACGCACTCATGTTTAGGCCTGGCCACATTACAGCACTCCAGGAGTTGCATCGAGCATGTCACAACATCATCCCACATTCCGGCACTCTCCGGGGTGAGGCTGACGTGTTTCCTCGCCCTGAGCGCTGCATCGCGTTTGCCTTCAGGTTTCAGCTGCGGCGGATCGTTTGCCGGCCGAGCCGCAGAACGCAGCCTCTCCAGCGGCATGGGAACTCAGAGTGCGCAGAGTCTTTGCCGATTCAGCTGACATGTAGCTAGGAGCAAGCATGGCATACCTAACAGGCATGCGTAGGAGTGGACATGGCGGGCATGGTCAGGATGCAGGGACCCACAATATCCGAGGGTCATCACGCACGACCACGCATGCAGTATGGTCGCCGTGGCTGTTGGGGTCACAGGGCAAGCAGCGAGGGCCATAGGGGACTGGTGGCGCACCATAGTAGCGGAAGCCAGTGAAACCCAAAACACATGGCCATGAAGCTGACCTCCCTCCTGGCCATGTGCCTGGGGAGCGTGAAAGCTCTGAGGCCCTTGGCGGGCGGCCTGTGGCAGTCTTCGCCTGGCGCAAAAGCCATTTGGACTGCTGCTACCATGACTCTGGAGGACGAGGTTCTTCGTGACTGACCGGGGTTGACGGCAGAGGGTTCCCTGAACCAGGTGGGGCTCAACAAGGCACCACAAGGGCCAGGTGGCCGCCGGCACGGTGCTGAAGAGCAAGGACTTTGAAGGGGAAGGCGGCCCCATCTCTGGCGACCACCTCGTGGCCTACAAGGGCTCCCCGGAGTCACCTACGCTCCTATGCGCGGTGCACATGGAGGACCTGTCGTCCCCTGGCCGCATGCTGTCTGGCCTGGAGGAAGGCATGTCCGCAGTAGTCTTGCCGGAGTCCGACAATGCCTTCTACACTGGCCCGGCCGTCGGCACGGTGGATGAGCTGCGTGCCGCCATCAATGACAGGAGCCTGTGGACGTCGGAGAACGTCCGGCCCGATGACGGCCGCATCCTCAACAGCTTCGTCATCCAGAGCGGTGCCAACACCACCACTGTCGAGACACAGACCACGACCTTCATGCAAAACAGCACGAGCATGACAACGACTGCCACCACGATGTTCTCCACCACCATGGAAACGACTGCAGGGACCACTGGGACAACGGCCGGGACCACCATGACAACCGCTGCTCCGACTACAACAGCTCTTGGGGAGGAGCCGCCCAGTGCTGCGGTGAATGCCATGGCAGGGGTGCCTGTGCTGCTGGCTCTCCTGAGCCTGGCTTGAGCTCCCATATTTGGTTCAGGACAATGTTCTTGACGATTTGGGCTGCTTCGTTCACAGAGAGCGGCTTGCACCACGAAAGGGCCTCCCCATGCCGGGCAGCTGAGGAGCATGCCAATGCGCTGTGTCAGCGGGGTTTCACCCTAGCCACGTCAATCGTCGGCAAGGGTCCATTTTGCAGTTCGCATCCGAAGCTGCATCAAAATGTAGCAGACTGCTCCAGTCCGGTGTTTGCTGAACAAGGGCGTGTCGAGGCAGTTTTCGAGTTGTGTTCAGATCAGTTTCATGCGCACATTATTCCCAGAGTGAGGCGAAGGCAGGCACCAACGTGTTTCCGCGGCATGCACCTAGCATTTCACCCCCAACACCGTCCCACATGCCGCCACCCTCCATTCAGGTTTCAGCTGCAGCCGCTCCTTTGCCGGCCGAGCCGCAGAACGCGGTCTCTCCAGCGGCATGGGAACTCAGAGTGCGCAGAGCTTGGCCGATTCAGCGAGCATGACACGTAGGAAGCAGCAGGCATGACATACGTAACAGGCATGGCAAGCAGGAGTGGACGGGCGCGCGTTGGCAGGGACCCGCAATATGACCCATGAAACCATTGATTGCAGCGACCAATCGGTCACTGATTCATGACTCCACCAAGCCGGGCGGCCAAATCGGGCCATAGGGGACTGGTGGCGCACCATAGTAGCGGAAGCCAGTGAAACCCAAAAAACATGGCCATGAAGCTGACCTCCCTCCTGGCCATGTGCCTGGGGAGCGTGAAGGCTCTGAGCCCGGGGGACTGTGCGTTCGTGGCAGTCTTCGCAGATGAGCCAAGCCAGTTTGGACTGCTGCTACTTAAGGACTTGGAGGACGAGGTCTTCGTGACTGACCGGGGGCTGACGGCAGAGGGTTCCCTGAACCAGGTGGGCTCAACAAGGCACCACAAGGGCCAGGTGGCCGCCGGCACGGTGCTGAAGAGCAAGGACTTTGAAGGGGAAGGCGGCTCCATCTCTGGCGACCACCTCGTGGCCTACACGGGCTCCCCGGAGTCACCTACGCTCCTATGCGCGGTGCACATGGAGGACCTGTCGTCCCCTGGCCGCATGCTGTCTGGCCTGGAGGAAGGCATGTCCGCAGTAGTCTTGCCGGAGTCCGACAATGCCTTCTACACTGGCCCGGCCGTCGGCACGGTGGATGAGCTGCGTGCCGCCATCAATGACAGGAGCCTGTGGACGTCGGAGAACGCCCGGCCCGATGACGGCCGCATTCTCAGCAGCTTCGTCATCCAGAGCGGTGCCAACACCACCACTGTCGAGACACAGACCACGACCTTCATGCAAAACAGCACGAGCATGACAACGACTGCCACCACGATGTTCTCCACCATGGAAACGACTACAGGGACCACTGGGACAACGGCCGGGACCACCATGACAACCGCTGCTCCGACTACAACAGCTCTTGGGGAGGAGCCGCCCAGTGCTGCGGTGAATGCCATGGCAGGGGTGCCTGTGCTGCTGGCTCTCCTGAGCCTGGCGTGAGCTCCCAGATTTGGTTCAGGACAATGTTCTTGACGATTTGGGCTGCTTCGTTCACAGAGAGCTGCTTTGCACCACGAAAGGGCCTCCCCATGCCGGGCAGCTGAGGAGCATGCCAATGCGCTGGGTCAGCGGGGTTTCACCCTAGCCACGTCAATCGTCGGCAAGGGTCCATTTTGCAGTTCGCATCCGAAGCTGCATCAAAATGTAGCAGACTGCTCCAGTCCGGTGTTTGCTGAACAAGGGCGTGTCAAGGCAGTTTTCGAGTTGTGTTCAGATCAGTTTCATGCGCACATTATTCTCAGAGTGAGGCGAAGGCAGGCACCAACGTGTTTCCGCGGCATGCACCTAGCATTTCACCCCCAACACCGTCCCACATTCCGCCACCCTCCCGGCAAAGGTGGGGCTGACATGTTTCTGCGCCTCGCCGTGAGCGCTGCATTGCGTTGCATTCAGGTTTCAGCTGCAGCCGCTCCTTTGCCGGGCGAGCCGCAGAACGCGGTCTCTCCAGCGGCATGGGAACTCAGAGTGCGCAGAACTTGGCCGATTCAGCGAGCATGGGTCCATTTTGCAGCGTTTTATCCAAAGCTGCATGAAAATGTACCAGGCCCATTCACGCCCTCTGTGATTCAGACTTTCCAGTCACGTGTAGTCAGTCTCGATCAATCCTGGTCCTCCGTTGCACCCAGGTCTCAACGGGTGCCAAGCCACCACTAGCCGAGCAGCAGGCGGACTCTTGCATGGAAGCGCGGATGCCCAGAACTGTTTCTGCGGTGCACCTTCCAGTCACATATAATTAGTCAATCGCGATCAATCCTGGTCCTCCGTTGCACCCAGATCTCAGCGGGTGCCAAGCCACCACCAGCCGAGCAGCAGGCGGACTCTTGCATGGAAGCGCGGATGCCCGGCCTTTCTGCGGTGCACCTTCCAGTCACATATGGTCAATCGCGATCAATCCTGTTTCTCTTTTGCACCCAGATCTCAGCGGGTGCCAAGCCACCACCAGCCGAGCAGCAGGCGGACTCTTGCATGGAAGCGCGGATGCCCAGAACTGTTTTTGCGGTGCACCTTCCAGTCACATAGTCAGTCGCGATCAATCCTGTTTCTCCGTTGCACCCAGGTCTCAGCGGGTGCCAAGCCACCACCAGCTGAGCAGCAGGCGGCCTTTTGCATGGGGCCATTGCTGAGCGCCAGATCGAGCGTCAGGTTTGCCGACTAAGCAAGCATGCATGGCATACATAACAGGCATGCGTAGGAGTGGACATGGCGGGCATGGTCAGGATGCAGGGACCCACAACATCGCAGAGGTCAGCACGCACGACCACGCATGCAGTATGGTCGCCGTGGCTTTTGGGGTCACAGGGCAAGCAGCGAGGGCCATAGGGGACTGGTGGCGCACCATAGTAGCGGAAGCCAGTGAAACCCAAAAAACATGGCCATGAAGCTGACCTCCCTCCTGGCCATGTGCCTGGGGAGCGTGAAAGCTCTGAGCCCGGGGGACTGTGCGTTCGTGGCAGTCTTCGCAGATGAGCCAAGCCAGTTTGGACTGCTGCTACTTAAGGACTTGGAGGACGAGGTCTTCGTGACTGACCGGGGGCTGACAGCAGAGGGTTCCCTGAACCAGGTGGGCTCAACAAGGCACCACAAGGGCCAGGTGGCCGCCGGCACGGTGCTGAAGAGCAAGGACTTTGAAGGGGAAGGCGGCCCCATCTCTGGCGACCACCTCGTGGCCTACAAGGGCTCCCCGGAGTCACCTACGCTCCTATGCGCGGTGCACATGGAGGACCTGTCGTCCCCTGGCCGCATGCTGTCTGGCCTGGAGGAAGGCATGTCCGCAGTAGTCTTGCCGGAGTCCGACAATGCCTTCTACACTGGCCCGGCCGTCGGCACGGTGGATGAGCTGCGTGCCGCCATCAATGACAGGAGCCTGTGGACGTCGGAGAACGTCCGGCCCGATGACGGCCGCATCCTCAACAGCTTCGTCATCCAGAGCGGTGCCAACACCACCACTGTCGAGACACAGACCACGACCTTCATGCAAAACAGCACGAGCATGACAACGACTGCCACCACGATGTTCTCCACCACCATGGAAACGACTGCAGGGACCACTGGGACAACGCCGGGACCACCATGACAACCGCTGCTCCGACTACAACAGCTCTTGGGGAGGAGCCGCCCAGTGCTGCGGTGAATGCCATGGCAGGGGTGCCTGTGCTGCTGGCTCTCCTGAGCCTGGCGTGAGCTCCCAGATTTGGTTCAGGACAATGTTCAATGTTCTTGACGATTTGGGCTTCTTCGTTCACAGAGAGCTGCTTTGCACCACGAAAGGGCTTCCCCATGCCGGGCAGCTGAGGAGCATGCCAATGCGCTGGGTCAGCGGGGTTTCACCCTAGCCACGTCAATCGTCGGCAAGGGTCCATTTTCCAGTTCGCATCCGAAGCTGCATCAAAATGTAGCAGACTGGGCTTCTCCAGTCCGGTGTTTGCTGAACAAGGGCGTGTCGAGGCAGTTTTCGAGTTGTGTTCAGATCAGTTTCATGCGCACATTATTCTCAGAGTGAGGCGAAGGCAGGCACCAACGTGTTTCCGCGGCATGCACCTAGCATTTCACCCCCAACACCGTCCCACATGCCGCCACCCTCCCGGCAAAGGTGGGGCTGCCGTGAGCGCTGCATTGTGTTGCATTCAGGTTTCAGCTGCAGCCGCTCCTTTGCCGGCCGAGCCGCAGAACGCGGTCTCTCCAGCGGCATGGGAACTCAGAGTGCGCAGAGCTTGGCCGATTCAGCGAGCATGACACGTAGGAAGCAGCAGGCATGACATGCGTAACAGGCATGGCAAGCAGGAGTGGACAGGGCGCGCGTTGGCAGGGACCCGCAATATCGCAGAGGTCAGCACGCACGACCACGCATGCAGTATGGTCGCCGTGGCTGTTGGGGTCACAGGGAAGCACAAAAAAGGGGGCGGGGGGGAAGGGGACATAGGGGGGATGGTGGGCACCATAGTAGCGGAAGCCAGTGAAAACCAAAAAACATGGCATGAAGCTGACCTCCCCTCTGGCCATGGTGCCTGGTAGCGTTGATAAAGCTATGAGCCCGGGGGACTGTGCGTTCGTGGCAGTTTCGCAGAATGAGCAAGCGTTTGGACTGCTGCCTACTTAAGGTCTTGGAGAGAAGGTCTTCGTGAACTGACCGGGCTGACGGCAGAGGGTTCCCTGAACCAGGTGGGCTCAACAAGGCACCACAAGGGCCAGGTTGCTACACTGGGCCTCGGCCGTCGGCACGCGGTGCACATGGAGGCCTGGAGCCTGCGTCTGGCCGGCCAGTGTCAGTCCGATGCCTTCTACACTGGCCCGGCCGTCGGCATGAGCTGCGTGTCAATGACGGAGCCTGTGGACGGAGAACGTCCGGCCCGATGACGGCCGCATCCTCAGCAGCTTCGTCATCCAGAGCTGTGCCAAACCCACCACTGTGAGACACAGACCACGACCTTCATGCAAAACAGCACGCATGACAACGACTGCCACCACGATGTCTCTCCACCATGGAAACGACTGCGGGGACCACTGGGACAACGGCCGACCACCATGACAACCGCTGCTCCGACTACAACAGCCTTGGGGAGAGCCGCCCAGTGCTGCGGTGAATGCCATGCAGGGGTGCCTGTGCTGCTGGCTCTCCTGAGCCTGGCGTGAGCTCCCAGATTTGGTTCAGGACAATGTTCTTGACGATTTGGGCTGCTTCGTTCACAGAGAGCTGCCTTGCACCACGAAAGGGCCTCCCCATGCCGGGCAGCTGAGGAGCATGCCAATGCGCTGGGTCAGCGGGGTTTCACCCTAGCCACGTCAATCGTCGGCAAGGGTCCATTTTGCAGTTGGCATCCGAAGCTGCATCAAAATGTAGCAGACTGGGCTTCTCCAGTCCGGTGTTTGCTGAACAAGGGCGTGTCCCAGATTTGGTTCAGGACAATGTTCTTGACGATTTGGGCTGCTTCGTTCACAGAGAGCTGCCTTGCACCACGAAAGGGCCTCCCCATGCCGGGCAGCTGAGGAGCATGCCAATGCGCTGGGTCAGCGGGGTTTCACCCTAGCCACGTCAATCGTCGGCAAGGGTCCATTTTGCAGTTGGCATCCGAAGCTGCATCAAAATGTAGCAGACTGGGCTTCTCCAGTCCGGTGTTTGCTGAACAAGGGCGTGTCGAGGCAGTTTTCGAGTTGTGTTCAGATCAGTTTCATGCGCACATTATTCTCAGAGTGAGGCGAAGGCAGGCACCAACGTGTTTCCGCGGCATTGCATCTAGCATTTCACCCCGGGCTGACATGTTTCTGCACCTCGCCGTGAGCGCTGCATTGCGTTGCATTCAGGTTTCAGCTGCAGCCGCTCCTTTGCCGGCCGAGCCGCAGAACGCGGTCTCTCCAGCGGCATGGGAACTCAGAGTGCGCAGAGCTTGGCCGATTCAGCGAGCATGACACGTAGGAAGCAGCAGGCATGACATGCGTAACAGGCATGGCAAGCAGGAGTGGACAGGGCGCGCGTTGGCAGGGACCCGCAATATCGCAGAGGTCAGCACGCACGACCACGCATGCAGTATGCTCGCTGTGGCCGTTGGGGTCACAGGGCAAGCAGCGAGGGACATAGGGGACTGGTGGCGCACCATAGTAGCGGAAGCCAGTGAAACCCAAAAAACATGGCCATGAAGCTGACCTCCCTCCTGGCCATGTGCCTGGGGAGCGTGAAAGCTCTGAGCCCGGGGGACTGTGCGTTCGTGGCAGTCTTCGCAGATGAGCCAAGCCAGTTTGGACTGCTGCTACTTAAGGACTTGGAGGACGAGGTCTTCGTGACTGACCGGGGGCTGACGGCAGAGGGTTCCCTGAACCAGGTGGGCTCAACAAGGCACCACAAGGGCCAGGTGGCCGCCGGCACGGTGCTGAAGAGCAAGGACTTTGAAGGGGAAGGCGGCCCATCTCTGGCGACCACCTCGTGGCCTACACGGGCTCCCCGGAGTCACCTACGCTCCTATGCGCGTGCACATGGAGGACCTGTCGTCCCCTGGCCGCATGCTGTCTGGCCTGGAGGAAGGCATGTCCGCAGTAGTCTTGCCGGAGTCCGACAATGCCTTCTACACTGGCCCGGCCGTCGGCACGGTGGATGAGCTGCGTGCGGCCATCAATGACAGGAGCCTGTGGACGTCGGAGAACGTCCGGCCCGATGACGGCCGCATCCTCAGCAGCTTCGTCATCCAGAGCGGTGCCAACACCACCACTGTCGAGACACAGACCACGACCTTCATGCAAAACAGCACGAGCATGACAACGACTGCCACCACGATGTTCTCCACCATGGAAACGACTGCAGGGACCACTGGGACAACGGCCGGGACCACCATGACAACCGCTGCTCCGACTACAACAGCTCTTGGGGAGGAGCCGCCCAGTGCTGCGGTGAATGCCATGGCAGGGGTGCCTGTGCTGCTGGCTCTCCTGAGCCTGGCGTGAGCTCCCAGATTTAGTTCAGGACAATGTTCTTGACGATTTGGGCTGCTTCGTTCACAGAGAGCTGCTTTGCACCACGAAAGGGCCTCCCCATGCCGGGCAGCTGAGGAGCATGCCAATGCGCTGGGTCAGCGGGGTTTCACCCTAGCCACGTCAATCGTCGGCAAGGGTCCATTTTGCAGTTGGCATCCGAAGCTGCATCAAAATGTAGCAGACTGGGCTTCTCCAGTCCGGTGTTTGCTGAACAAGGGCGTGTCGAGGCAGTTTTTGAGTTGTGTTCAGATCAGTTTCATGCGCACATTATTCCCAGAGTGAGGCGAAGGCAGGCACCAACGTGTTTCCGCGGCATTGCACCTAGCATTTCACCCCCAACACCGTCCCACATGCCGCCACCCTCCATTCAGGTTTCAGCTGCAGCCGCTCCTTTGCCGGCCGAGCCGCAGAACGCGGTCTCTCCAGCGGCATGGGAACTCAGAGTGCGCAGAGCTTGGCCGATTCAGCGAGCATGACACGTAGGAAGCAGCAGGCATGACATACGTAACAGGCATGGCAAGCAGGAGTGGACGGGCGCGCGTTGGCAGGGACCCGCAATATCGCAGAGGTCAGCACGCACGACCACGCATGCAGTATGGTCGCCGTGGCTGTTGGGGTCACAGGGCAAGCAGCGAGGGACATAGGGGACTGGTGGCGCACCATAGTAGCGGAAGCCAGTGAAACCCAAAAAACATGGCCATGAAGCTGACCTCCCTCCTGGCCATGTGCCTGGGGAGCGTGAAAGCTCTGAGCCCGGGGGACTGTGCGTTCGTGGCAGTCTTCGCAGATGAGCCAAGCCAGTTTGGACTGCTGCTACTTAAGGACTTGGAGGACGAGGTCTTCGTGACTGACCGGGGGCTGACGGCAGAGGGTTCCCTGAACCAGGTGGGCTCAACAAGGCACCACAAGGGCCAGGTGGCCGCCGGCACGGTGCTGAAGAGCAAGGACTTTGAAGGGGAAGGCGGCTCCATCTCTGGCGACCACCTCGTGGCCTACACGGGCTCCCCGGAGTCACCTACGCTCCTATGCGCGGTGCACATGGAGGACCTGTCGTCCCCTGGCCGCATGCTGTCTGGCCTGGAGGAAGGCATGTCCGCAGTAGTCTTGCCGGAGTCCGACAATGCCTTCTACACTGGCCCGGCCGTCGGCACGGTGGATGAGCTGCGTGCGGCCATCAATGACAGGAGCCTGTGGACGTCGGAGAACGTCCGGCCCGATGACGGCCGCATCCTCAGCAGCTTCGTCATCCAGAGCGGTGCCAACACCACCACTGTCGAGACACAGACCACGACCTTCATGCAAAACAGCACGAGCATGACAACGACTGCCACCACGACTTTTAACATCTTGGATTTCCTTGGAGCGACAACGACAACTGCGGGAACAACTACAGGGACAACGGCCGGGACCACCATGACAACCGCTGCTCCCACTACAACAGCTCTGGGGGAGGAGCCGCCCAGTGCTGCGGTGAATGCCATGGCAGGGGTGCCTGTGCTGCTGGCTCTCCTGAGCCTGGCGTGAGCTCCCACATTTGGTTTAGGACAATGTTCTTGACGATTTGGGCTGCTTCATTCACAGAGAGCCTCACCATGCGGGGCAGCTAAGGAGCATGCCCCTGTAGTAAAACATGGTGGGTTTGATTTTAGAACTACTGAAGTTTCACCCTAGGTATATCCATCGTTGGCAATTTTGCAGTTGAGATGCGAAGCTGCATCACCGCTGGACACTCCAATCCTTTTTTGCCAAACAAGGGCGTCTTGCGGCAGACACGCAAGCAGCTGTTGAGCGCGGAGTCTTCATCTTGGCCAACAACGTGTTTCCCCGGCATTGCATCCAGCATTTCACCCCCAACACCGTCCCACATTCCGCCACCCTCCCGGCAAAGGTGGGGCTGCCGTGAGCGCTGCATTGTGTTGCATTCAGGTTTCAGCTGCAGCCGCTCCTTTGCCGGCCGAGCCGCAGAACGCGGTCTCTCCAGCGGCATGGGAACTCAGAGTGCGCAGAGCTTGGCCGATTCAGCGAGCATGACACGTAGGAAGCAGCAGGCATGACATACGTAACAGGCATGGCAAGCAGGAGTGGACAGGGCGCGCGTTGGCAGGGACCCGCAATATCGCAGAGGTCAGCACGCACGACCACGCATGCAGTATGGTCGCCGTGGCTGTTGGGGTCACAGGGCAAGCAGCGAGGGACATAGGGGACTGGTGGCGCACCATAGTAGCGGAAGCCAGACTTTTAGTTTGCCACTCAGATTGCGACGAAAGCCTGGATGCACAAAAGGCTTGTCCGAGGCAATGAATTGATTTATACTGGCCAAGCTTTCTGGTCGTGACTTCCTTTTCCAAATCCCGGTGGGTGAAATGGAAACTGCCACGCAAGCCGAGCAACTAAAAACGAATCGGATGGCGAATATGGGGGCACGAAGATGGGGGGTTTTAAGGTGGGAACCCATGGAAGTTTCAAGGCTCCGGAAGTTTCCTGCTTCGCCTTCGCCTTGATCAAGCCCAGTGAAACCCAAAAAACATGGCCATGAAGCTGACCTCCCTCCTGGCCATGTGCCTGGGGAGCGTGAAAGCTCTGAGCCCGGGGGACTGTGCGTTCGTGGCAGTCTTCGCAGATGAGCCAAGCCAGTTTGGACTGCTGCTACTTAAGGACTTGGAGGACGAGGTCTTCGTGACTGACCGGGGGCTGACGGCAGAGGGTTCCCTGAACCAGGTGGGCTCAACAAGGCACCACAAGGGCCAGGTGGCCGCCGGCACGGTGCTGAAGAGCAAGGACTTTGAAGGGGAAGGCGGCTCCATCTCTGGCGACCACCTCGTGGCCTACACGGGCTCCCCGGAGTCACCTACGCTGCTATGCGCGGTGCACATGGAGGACCTGTCGTCCCCTGGCCGCATGCTGTCTGGCCTGGAGGAAGGCATGTCTGCAGTAGTCTTGCCGGAGTCCGACAATGCCTTCTACACTGGCCCGGCCGTCGGCACGGTGGATGAGCTGCGTGCGGCCATCAATGACAGGAGCCTGTGGACGTCGGAGAACGTCCGGCCCGATGACGGCCGCATCCTCAGCAGCTTCGTCATCCAGAGCGGTGCCAACACCACCACTGTCGAGACACAGACCACGACCTTCATGCAAAACAGCACGAGCATGACAACGACTGCCACCACGATGTTCTCCACCATGGAAACGACTGCAGGGACCACTGGGACAACGGCCGGGACCACCATGACAACCGCTGCTCCGACTACAACAGCTCTTGGAGAGGAGCCGCCCAGTGCTGCGGTGAATGCCATGGCAGGGGTGCCTGTGCTGCTGGCTCTCCTGAGCCTGGCGTGAGCTCCCAGATTTGGTTCAGGACAATGTTCTTGACGATTTGGGCTGCTTCGTTCACAGAGAACTACTTTGCACCACGAAAGGGCCTCCCCATGCCGGGCAGCTGAGGAGCATGCCAATGCGCTGGGTCAGCGGGGTTTCACCCTAGCCACGTCAATCGTCGGCAAGGGTCCATTTTGCAGTTCGCATCCGAAGCTGCATCAAAATGTAGCAGACTGGGCTTCTCCAGTCCGGTGTTTGCTGAACAAGGGCGTGTCGAGGCAGTTTTCGAGTTGTGTTCAGATCAGTTTCATGCGCACATTATTCTCAGAGTGAGGCGAAGGCAGGCACCAACGTGTTTCCGCGGCATTGCATCTAGCATTTCACCCCCAACACCGTCCCACATGCCGCCACCCTCCATTCAGGTTTCAGCTGCAGCCGCTCCTTTGCCGGCCGAGCCGCAGAACGCGGTCTCTCCAGCGGCATGGGAACTCAGAGTGCGCAGAGCTTGGCCGATTCAGCGAGCATGACACGTAGGAAGCAGCAGGCATGACATGCGTAACAGGCATGGCAAGCAGGAGTGGACAGGGCGCGCGTTGGCAGGGACCCGCAATATCGCAGAGGTCAGCACGCACGACCACGCATGCAGTATGGTCGCCGTGGCTGTTGGGGTCACAGGGCAAGCAGCGAGGGACATAGGGGACTGGTGGCGCACCATAGTAGCGGAAGCCAGTGAAACCCAAAAAACATGGCCATGAAGCTGACCTCCCTCCTGGCCATGTGCCTGGGGAGCGTGAAAGCTCTGAGCCCGGGGGACTGTGCGTTCGTGGCAGTCTTCGCAGATGAGCCAAGCCAGTTTGGACTGCTGCTACTTAAGGACTTGGAGGACGAGGTCTTCGTGACTGACCGGGGGCTGACGGCAGAGGGTTCCCTGAACCAGGTGGGCTCAACAAGGCACCACAAGGGCCAGGTGGCCGCCGGCACGGTGCTGAAGAGCAAGGACTTTGAAGGGGAAGGCGGCTCCTCTCTGGCGACCACCTCGTGGCCTACACGGGCTCCCCGGAGTCACCTACGCTCCTATGCGCGGTGCACATGGAGGACCTGTCGTCCCCTGGCCGCATGCTGTCTGGCCTGGAGGAAGGCATGTCCGCAGTAGTCTTGCCGGAGTCCGACAATGCCTTCTACACTGGCCCGGCCGTCGGCACGGTGGATGAGCTGCGTGCGGCCATCAATGACAGGAGCCTGTGGACGTCGGAGAACGTCCGGCCCGATGACGGCCGCATCCTCAGCAGCTTCGTCATCCAGAGCGGTGCCAACACCACCACTGTCGAGACACAGACCACGACCTTCATGCAAAACAGCACGAGCATGACAACGACTGCCACCACGATGTTCTCCACCATGGAAACGACTGCAGGGACCACTGGGACAACGGCCGGGACCACCATGACAACCGCTGCTCCGACTACAACAGCTCTTGGGGAGGAGCCGCCCAGTGCTGCGGTGAATGCCATGGCAGGGGTGCCTGTGCTGCTGGCTCTCCTGAGCCTGGCGTGAGCTCCCAGATTTGGTTCAGGACAATGTTCTTGACGATTTGGGCTGCTTCGTTCACAGAGAGCTGCTTTGCACCACGAAAGGGCCTCCCCATGCCGGGCAGCTGAGGAGCATGCCAATGCGCTGTGTCAGCGGGGTTTCACCCTAGCCACGTCAATCGTCGGCAAGGGTCCATTTTGCAGTTCGCATCCGAAGCTGCATCAAAATGTAGCAGACTGGGCTTCTCCAGTCCGGTGTTTGCTGAACAAGGGCGTGTCGAGGCAGTTTTCGAGTTGTGTCCAGATCAGTTTCATGCGCACATTATTCTCAGAGTGAGGCGAAGGCAGGCACCAACGTGTTTCCGCGGCATTGCATCTAGCATTTCACCCCCAACACCGTCCCACATGCCGCCACCCTCCATTCAGGTTTCAGCTGCAGCCGCTCCTTTGCCGGCCGAGCCGCAGAACGCGGTCTCTCCAGCGGCATGGGAACTCAGAGTGCGCAGAGCTTGGCTGATTCAGCGAGCATGACACGTAGGAAGCAGCAGGCATGACATGCGTAACAGGCATGGCAAGCAGGAGTGGACAGGGCGCGCGTTGGCAGGGACCCGCAATATCGCAGAGGTCAGCACGCACGACCACGCATGCAGTATGGTCGCCGTGGCTGTTGGGGTCACAGGGCAAGCAGCGAGGGACATAGGGGACTGGTGGCGCACCATAGTAGCGGAAGCCAGTGAAACCCAAAAAACATGGCCATGAAGCTGACCTCCCTCCTGGCCATGTGCCTGGGGAGCGTGAAAGCTCTGAGACCGGGGGACTGTGCGTTCGTGGCAGTCTTCGCAGATGAGCCAAGCCAGTTTGGACTGCTGCTACTTAAGGACTTGGAGGACGAGGTCTTCGTGACTGACCGGGGGCTGACGGCAGAGGGTTCCCTGAACCAGGTGGGCTCAACAAGGCACCACAAGGGCCAGGTGGCCGCCGGCACGGTGCTGAAGAGCAAGGACTTTGAAGGGGAAGGCGGCTCCATCTCTGGCGACCACCTCGTGGCCTACACGGGCTCCCCGGAGTCACCTACGCTCCTATGCGCGGTGCACATGGAGGACCTGTCGTCCCCTGGCCGCATGCTGTCTGGCCTGGAGGAAGGCATGTCCGCAGTAGTCTTGCCCGAGTGGCCCTCTGCGTTCCCTGCGCTTTGTCTCGATCGGCTCTGCCCCACTGTCATGCGCCGTTTGGGTTCTTGTCCACGGCCCCACCTCAAAGGTCCGAGGCGCCTTTCCCTGTGCACCGAAAGCAAGTCCCATCGGGTGAGTTCACTTGTGCAAATTCTACAAATCATAGACGGGGGTGTTCAACTCAATGAATGGGCGTGTAAACATACAAGCAGAATATGCATCTAAAGAATCCGATTCGTGAGGCCGATGGCCCGAAAAGTGAATGATAAGATACTGATCATTCCTGAATTCATGCAGGAATGTAACTTTGTGTTGTTGTAGCTGCGGATTGTGGACCTCATGCAGCCCAACACAAATCTGGAAGTCCCCTCACAAAAGCACCTGCTAAAACTTGAAACAACTCTATTGCTGGCAAGCCGCACCTCTTGGAATCTTTTAGCCAATCCGCTGGCATTTGCAGTGGCCCTGTCTGTGTTACAAGGCCAAGATGGCAAAGCCAAGGCCAGGATGGCTTCTGGGCAGGAACTGCCGGCGTCTAAGAGTCTTGCGGTCTCGGCTTGGGCTGCGATTTTCAGTTTGGCCAAGGAACGTGACTCCGACGGCGCCTGGTGCTCAGTGAGCTGGGCATCACATCGCACCGGACCGAGCTTTCCCGAGGTGGTGCGCGACACACTTCCAGTACCGCTGGCGCTGCCAGCAGGACGGCGTGGCACACAGCTGCGAGGCTGGAAGCCTCGGAGCCTCGGCTGCCATCTCGTTGCCAAACGGCACCGGTGAAGGTGCAGCAAGAAGCCGCTTCGGCGCGAGGCGCTGGGCGAGAAATGCGCTGATGGCTTGGCACATGAAGTTGATAGGGAAGCAGATTGCATGACTCTTCGACTTGATCATTCCACACAGCGACTAGCCTCACCCTTTAGATCACCGCGGCGAATTGTATTTGCCGCGTGTTCCTTTCTCGCGGCCTTTGGTGAGTATTGCCGCCAGGGAAGGGCAAGGGCAAGGGCAAGGCCCGCGAGGAAACATCTCTGGGAGACGATGAGCTGGAGGACATGTGGGGTGTCATGCGGCAATCGGTTCATGTCTTTTGTTTTTTTCACTTCGACGATTTGACGTCCCATGGCAGGAGTTGGAGTTCCAGCGCTTGGCGGCCGAATTGGAGGACGAGCACCAGGAGCTGCGTGCTGAGGCGCGGCGTGCCAAGCGGGGCGCCGACATCGTCACGCCGGAGATGCAGGCGGATGGGGTCGCGCGGGGTGGGGAGGGGTGGGGAGGGGTGGGGAGGGGAAGAAGTGGCCACTTGTGCTGGTGCAGCAGCTCCTAGCTCGGGGAAAGGCGTTTGCTCCTGCAAGGCGGACGTCGAAGGGCTTTTGGAAGCGCTGGGCATTCCGTTCGTCCATGCACCAGCGGAGGCTGGGGAAAGAAATGATATGCCAGCCATGAGTCCATGAGACTAAAGCACTTGGGAAACTTACTCTCGCTCGGCTGATTTCGAAGCGTGTGCCACTGGGGCTGGGTCAAGACGCGAAAGCTTTCCAAAGGCTTCTGGGAGTTCACATCTGCTTTGCACCTCGCCCAGGCTGAGGCTCAGTGCGCGTTCCTTGCAGAGGCCATGGGGGATGGCGAGAGTGCGGCAAACCTGCCCAGGCCCTCAAAACACAAAATATGAATTTTCAAGAATCCAATAGCCCTTGGCCGGGCGAGTCATGTGGTAGCCTGTTCAGGCACGTCTGGTCGATGCCGTGGCTTCCGACGATTCCGACGTGCTCGTCTTCGGAGCCCGCCGGAGCCTCACTCGCGGGGCGGGTGCTTAGCCCAAGTCTCACAGCCCCGTGCTGTCTGCTTCTTTTTTTGGTATTACACCCTGGGATTACACCCTTGGGAAAAATGACCCAGAACGGTTCAAAACAACACGGTGTTAGCCGGAAATGTGCCCAGATGGGGTCAATACCTAGCGTATTCCCAGGGTGTAATACCCAAAAAAAACTGAGTTTCTTAGGCGAGGTTTACCGGCGGATGTTTTCGGAGGAGCTTGCCGTGTGCTCCGAACCGAGTCTGGAATCCCCCTAGACGCTTCCAACAGGACCACCAGGTGGAATGCTACAGCGCAGCACGGCTGGAAACTCGCCTGGGATTGTTGCAGCTTGGCTTGAGATGGCTTGAGAAGGTAATAATTTAATTTGCCGGCCCAACCGGCTTACACTTGGGACCAGGAGTCCGCGTGTTTGTCCTGTTTGCTTGTGAGGCATGACCACATGATTGTTTTGGCCATGCTGCTGGGCTGCGACTACACCCTTGGCGTGCACGGGGTGGGAATCGTCAATGGGTCGCAGCCTCAAGTTGCCTCCCAGCCACGCAATTTCGGAAGCTGAGATTCCAAGGCTCGAGATTGTCCGGGCCTTCACCCCGGGTCGCAACATGGGCAACGAGGATCGAGAGACACGGGCTTCACTTTTCATGTCGGGCACTCGACTCCAGGGCTTCCACGTAGGAGTGGCTGCAGCGCCTCCAGTCCTTTCGCTCCTGGGCGCAGAACGTGGCAAACTGGGGCCAGGCGGGGCGGGGCGGCTGGGCGTGGGGAAGTGCAACAAGGCAAGGAACCGCAGCCCAGGAGACTGCGGGGGTCCAAGACCAGGACAGCAAGGCCTTGGCAGAGTCGGAGCCTTGCAGTCTGAACAGCCGAGGGCAAGCACAGGAGCTGAATCTGTGGGAGAAGTTTTGGAAAAAACGCGGTTTCATGTTCCCCCAACAGACTTGAGCGGCAAGTTGCAACTTCCGCAGCCATTGTGGGTTAGTGAGTACCGCAGCCGGTACTCACCAGCCGCGCTTTGAGCTTGAGCGCTTTGGCTGTGGGCCATGGAACCGCAAAGTCCCAACTTTTGGGATATTGCCGAGGCGCGCGAAGTTCTGAGCTCACATGGGGTATGGGTGAGGACCGGTGAGTTCTAAGTTACGCTACGTTTGTCTCGGAGGAAGGTGCGCATCTTTCACTTGATGCCCAGCAGGGCATGCGTGCTCCCATTGCGGCACAAGCTGGCTCAAGCTTCCTGCTTCCACGCAGAGGGGAGGTCGTGAAACCGATTTGGCACAATATATTATGCAGTGACGGTCCGCCAGTTCACACAAGCGATGAGTCGTAAGCTCGCAACACAACTGGGCCCATATAAGCCTGCTTCATTTCCCGAAAGAATGCTGGTCAAGCAATAGCTTTTATGCACCTGCTCATCGTTTGGACCGTCAAGGGTTCCAGAATTGTACCCTCAAGGTCACACCTCTGTGCAACTCACTCCCGGAGTTCCTGGACTTGACTTTGTTTGGGCCGACCATTTTAGTGGTAAAACAGCAGGTTTTGCCCTGACCATTTTCCGGTTTCGCTCGGGGAGTGGATTTTTCGCCCAGTGCCTGGACTATGCGGTGGCCCGGCTTCTGCATTCCTGCTTCGCAGGGCAGGCGGACTGCGGCTTGGTGAAGGCGAGGCGGGAAATTTAAAAGAGAATCTCACCCCTTTTTTGGTTGGGCGGGTTCGGGACCCTACTAAGATAGACAAAAGAGAAAAAGGAAACGGTAGCCCTTATTCTAACCTCTCTACTGGAGGGCCTAACCGAATGTCCGTGGGCTGGTGGTTCTTCCCATGTGTGCACTCGGAAGGGGGTAAGCAAGCTAATGTTCGCAGGTCCGAGGTTTTTCGGACATGTCTTTCAAGCAATGCCAGGTACTGCGAGAGCGGCCGCCATTAGACGCAAGCATGCTGGTGTTTACTGGCGTGATCATCGGGGACATTTACGTTTGCTTCAGCAGCTTGGTGCATTTCCATGGCTGTGGCCATGCTTAGCGGCTGGTTTCCATCGACCATAGCACTTGCCCCAAGCCGATGGTTGGCCTATGGTGAAACAGGGCTCCTTAAAAGATACATTTTGCCCATTTGAAACATGGCTTTTTCCACCAAAATAAAGGGACACCACCATTTACAGGGCAATGTTCAGGTGTGTAATGTAAGGATCCCTGTGAAAAGGGCCTCTTTCCGGGTCCCTCTGCAAGATGGTGCCGGGTGCTCAGGCACAGCCGGCTTGAGCATGACCGACTTGCGCTCCATTGCATTCTACAGCTCATTGGCCGCCCGACCTGAAGACTCCCATCACTCCAATTGATGCAAGGCCTGTGCCGGCCTGGAGCCTGACCATGTGGTTTTGTTATTGTCGGGGGACTTCCTCTTCGGTCCTGTGCTGTCCCCACGTAGTCCCCCCCCTGTCCGGGGCTCCATTGGGGTCAGCAGGACAAATCGCTATTGGCTTAGAATTGACTTGTTCGAAACTTAGTATTGACCACTTTGAATTTTGAAAACACGTTTGTTTTGTTTTTATGGAGACATTTGTGAGGGGGAAGGGATTCATAGGAGTGTCCCAGAGGGGATCCGGTCCACTTTTGCAAAATTGACACAGGGGCAAACACCCCCTTCCCTCACGTCAATTCAGCCTGCATGATGGCACTTGGCAAAGAATTAGTTCCCCACGCGCTCAGGTCTTGGCCATTATCTCATGGGAGCGCAACTTGGCGCACTGCAGGTCTTGGGTTTCGCGGTTTCGCTTGCACTGCTCGCGCAACCTGCAAGCACTGAAGGTGCAATCACAGTCGACCCGGGCGCCATCCCCGACGACTGGCGGATGGGGGCAAATGGCCGTCCACTGTTTGTGGCTCGGCATGCTCGGCCCTTTGTTTGCTTTGTTTGTACTGCTGCTGCTTCCCAAGCCCCTGAAAGGGTTAGAATCACTACGGATAGTCACCTCGCAGCCTGTGGCAAGTGAAGGCCAAGCAAACATTCTTCAGCCGCCGGATGCATCACGGATGTGCTAAGCAACCTGTTGGATCCGTTTGGGCTTTGCCTTTGGTCAGTTTGCCTGGCGTAGGGAGACAGGCTGTGGATTGGCAAGCTGATGGGTCATGCGTTCTCGCCCAGGAGCTCTTGGGACAGGATCACTCTTCGGGGAGACGGCGGTATGCCTTCAGAGAAGGTGAGTCATTCACACAAGCTGCACATGGCCACGAGACAAATGTGTTGATTTGAAGTTGGGTGATCCGACAAGCTAAGATTGGCATACCATGATCCAGCTCAAACTGCAAATCCCTGCATGTTGATTCAAGTGGCAGGCGATCCAACAAAGTACTTGCTTTGCCCGCGCGACACTTGACCAGATTTGTGCACGCAGCGGATGCGCTCTCGGATAGGCTCCACTTCACTCAGCGTGCTTGACTGATGCATTGCCAGTTGCCCCGCCCCCCCTCCCCGGTCCGAGATGCTGTGCCAAATCTGAGGAGCAGAAGTTCAAGCCGAAGCGCGCTCACTTTTGCAGGCAGCTGCGGCGCAACGTGCTGAGGACAGGCACTTTGCGACGGGAACAGGTGATATGCTTGTGGTACGGGATCTGGTCTTCGCTCCTTGGGTAGGCAAACTTTTCCGCAGGATGGATCACTACTGCAACTGGTTAGCCAACTGCTGCATGGTCGCAAGCAGCCCATGTTGAGTCCGGAAATGCGCGAAGCTGCCAAGGCATTGGCTATCATAACCAAAAGTATTTTTACCTGTTCCTGCTGTATGCGGGGCTTGCCACCACGATAAACTGCACGGCATCCTGGTCGCCTTTATCCGTGCAGCTGTCGGAGTGCTTTGCGCACAGGGGCGTGCGCCCTCCCAATTTGTGGCTGAGGTTGCCGTCAAGGCGCTCATCCACATAAAGAGCCAAAATGCGGTGCGCACGGCATTCCTTCTCCCAGGCAGGCTGCAGTGAACATGGAGAGGACACATGTTCAACAGGTCACCAAGCCAAGGTGCTTTGCTGTCCAGCTGCTTGGCATCTGCGATTTGGCCGCGCCCAGGCTGCATCTCTGGCTTTCATGTGGCTGTGGGTCAAGGTTAGGTACCCAAAACGGAATCCTGTAAATGGAAACATGGACTAAAACCTGTGGTCCCCTAGTTTAATTTTGACCCACGCCCATGTGTTTCGTTTCGCGGTTGTCCTTGACTGCGAGCTGACGTTTTTTTTTGTTCTCAGGTTCTTGGGCTGGCACACCTGCCTTATCTGCCGGAACACCTCCTGCGTGGAGTTCGCTCAGCGCGGCTGGGCGCCGTCCCCGCCGCCGGGCGAACTTAACGGAACTGGCCGGTGCTGCTCCTTCGCTCGATTGCCCCTTCATTTACGTTTGTTTCTGCGCATTTCTGGTCATTTCCCTTTGTTCCCTTCATTTCCCGTCACTTCTCTTCATTTCCTTCCATGTTCCCTTCATATCCGCGCTCCAGAGGTATGATGAAGGCATCTGTCGCAACATCCAGAGTGTGCCCGGGCTCACATGGACATCCGAGCCAGGTGTGCCATTTCTAATTGTTTGAGGATACCAGTGTTTGTGTGGGTTTATGTTGTGTGATTCTGTTTGTTTGCTGTTGTTTTTTCTTTTCTTTTCTTTTTTTTTGGGGGGGGTCGAAAGCAAAAAAGCCACACACCTGGGCTTCTGAGGTCATGGGTGAATGCTTCCTTTGCTGGCCGTTGCCCTTTAGCGGGCCACCGGGCACTGGCCTGGAATGGGGCGTGGCGGAGGCGGGGTGGGTGGGCTTTTGCTGCTTCCCCACCCCCGTTTGTGTTGGCTGCGATGCCCAGGCTGATGTGCCCATCAGCACTGCAGACTTCCTGGGCCTAAGGGACAAAGCCGGGGCCCTGGCTTCGGCTTCCTTTCCCGGTTTGTCGATTTCCAGCGGCCGAGGCGCGGCGGAACGGCGTGCCGGGGAGCTCCAATGATGGCCCGGTAGATAGCCCTGCCGGCGTGGAAGTGATGCTAGAGGTTGGAGCAGAAAAGCTGCAAAACACGTGCACCACGTGGTGTTTGATCATGCCGGAACTGCACCCCACACTAGTTGAATCTATCCATTTGGCCATTGGATTCCTGGATGGTAGCTTTCCCAGGTTCAAGCGCAAGCACACCAACTTCCGCACGTGCGCCACGGGGGGGCACCAAGCACTGGGGCACTGCACCAGGGCTCACTGCGCAGGCAGTGGTCCTTCCCCGAGGACTTCCCGAGCGCTGCTGTGATGGATGCATTCCGCGTACCTGAGGTGGGACTTGCCAGAAGGGGAATACTTCTCCAAGCTTAGCAGCTTCTTTCATATCGGATGGCATCCGATCCAGGGGTTTTGGGGAGCGATTTATCGCCAGGTGGACCGCACCTTGGAACCCTTCAGCTGGGCAGATGTGGACCTTCAACGGGTGACAGCGCAGCTGGTCCGCGTGGCGGATCTCTCAGAGGACTCGGTTTGAAGTGACCCCTCAAGTGGGTTTGGACATGTTTGAATTGCAACCACCCCAAGGGGAATGTCGACCCCGGATCCCACCCTGATTGTGAGGGAGCTGCCTCTCAAATGGGACACACCTCTTATTTATCGAAAGGCGCACCCGACCGACAAAACGCATCCAGGAGAAGGTCATGGAGCGACTCGAGCCGGCTTTGCGGCGGTACCAGGCCATTCGCACAGCGGCAAGCGGCAACGCACAGTGCCCCTTTCCCGAAAAAGGTCTGAATCCAGGTATTGCAAGTGCTGGGGGCATCCTTTCTGGTATGATCCACTGAGATTCTTCCTGAAATTATGTGTTTGCCACTTTGCTTTCAAGTAGAAAAATACTAGAAGGCGCACATGTTCTCTCTTCTCCGTTGGAGGGCGCAACCCATTAGACTTCACTTAACTGCCTTGAGCACACCTTGCAAAGGAGTCTCGTCGGTGAATGTCGGCTCCTCCAGCGTGTTCGTTAGTCGGCAGGACACGCTGCGGCAGCCCCGTATCACGGAGTACCTCTTGCCCGCTGCGGGGGACGTGGCGGTAGTGAGGTCCAGTCGCATGCAGCAGGCGACTGAGGGCCGAGGGTACTGGCTGAGTGAAAATTGTGCTGACATTTGGCCCGTGGGGGAACCAAGGAGCCGACAAGACAATACACGCATACTCCGTAGTAAGTTGGGGCCCATGTCCGATTGAGAAACTTTTCGGAAAGAAAGAACATTCAGGCAGTCCCGTTGTCAAAACATACCCAAGTCGCTTCCCCCATCGGAAGCAGCACGTGTTGCTTGGGTCTCTGCGAAGGCGCTGCGCGGTTTGCGCGGGGAGTCCCCGGACATGGACGCGGAAGGCGGGCGTCAAACGACGGCCGGGCCGGCCGCCCCCACCCCCGCTGTGCTCAGAACGCGGACGAGGACGTGGACGTCGCCGTGGCCAGGAGACCACGCCCCTTCAATCCGGCAGCGGTGTTGTTCTCTAAGTGTTCCAAACATGGCTGTGGGTCAACAATCGGTACCCAAAATGGAGCCCTGGTAAATGGAAACATGGACTAAAACCTGCGGTCCCCTGGTTGCTTAATTTTGACCCATACCCACATAAACCCATCACTGCATGCGCCCGCCATTGCTTGCACCAGGCGCGGCGCGGCCGTGGTCGTGGCCGCCGGGCCCAGAAGGTCGGAGCTTGAAACGCTGCGACGGCCTTGATGGACACGACAGGCCGAAGCTCCGGCAGCTTTCGCCAGCTTGCGCGGGGCAGCTCACACCTCAGCAGCTCAGACCTTTGGCGTCAAAAACGCGAGCTCTGAGGCAAGCATCGAGCTGGACAGTGATGAAGACGCATGATCCAGTGGACAGAAAGGGAGCATTGCACGCTTGCACGTGCTTGAATGCAGCTACACTTTCGACACGTTTCACACTAGATCAGAAGCCAAGACACACCGAATCTCGACAAGCTTGCATGCACACTGGAGGTGCCGGGCGACGTTCATTTTGGCTGGCCCCTTTTGGTACCACCGCGCCGTGGGCGCGCCCTTCTCTTCCGGTGGCTCTGGCACGTTGCGTCATGCCATGCCATGCTGCAGCTACATAGCTATCACCTCTCCACGAATTAAAGATGCTGGAGGCCTGCGCAAAGCCCAGGTCTTTGATCGGCGAAGTCGGCGAAGTGGACGCGGCATCGCTGCATGGCTCTTGCCAAGGGCCCGGGCCTCGATGCGATCGATACGTGCGACTTTGACCGCGGGGAGCTGCTGTGAGGCCAGCAGTCGTTGGGGCCCAAGCTCTGGAAGCGAACACGGAACATTGGATGGCCTTTCAGTGCTTCTTTTGTGCCGCCCGAGTTTGGCAATTTGCACGGACCATTTCCTTGGGCCTAGGTGGCTGAGCAGTGGTTCCACAAGCCCCGGATCCAGAAAAACCGTGGCTTGAACATGAGCGAAGCGAATGCGTGGCATGACGTCATGTTTTGCTAGCTTGGCTGTCAAGATGATCAATCTGACCGAGGCCACCACGCTGAACCCAAGAACGTCGGGTGAAATCAGCATCAGAAAATGCGCGCGGGACTTGCGCTGCTGATTCAAGGGAGAACTGAGCCGGCAATGCGTGAGCAGTCTCGTCTGGCCATTATCTACCGTCGTTGTTTTGCATGAGCTGCTCTCAACGGATTAGATTCTGGCGCATGCGCTATCCGCTCGCGGGTCTCCACAGGCATGGCCGGCATGGTGCTTTTGATGTTCCAAGGAAAAGTCCCAGGACTGGCCCGAGATCAGTTTTTCCCGACTTAACATCTGGTCAACATGCGGCGCATCCGACCCCGCATGCACCCTTCCCGGCCACTGGGCCTTGTCAGCAGCTTGTCTGCACTCAGTGCTGGAGCCTGGGCCTTGGGCGGCCAAATTCGGCCAAACGAGGCTTCGGGCTAGCTTGCGCGTTCTGCGCTGGGAGCTGGGACAAAGGCGATGGGGTGAGTCGGACCGTTTGTGGTAGACGTGGAGTGAAACACAATTGGCGGCAAACGAATTGCACTAACTTTGTCATGGATCATGGGCCTGAAATGCGATGGCCAACTAGTGGTGGCGGAGGGGCAAAAGAAGCTGTCGTGGCCTGCAGGCCAGCCAAGACTTGCTCGCCATGCAGCCCAAAAGGCGGAAAGCATGCTCCTGACAGTTTGCCAGTCAAGCCCTTTTCTGGAACGCTGCCACCCGCGCACTGCACGTACTGCAACCCATCATCTTGAAGCCGGCTGTCTTTTTGTGGCTACCAAATCTGGCTGACAGCATTGATTCGACAAGCCATGCGCAGGCAGCTGAGTTCGCCGGCCATGGGGCGGCCATGTTTGGCGCAGGCGCTTTGTTGGGCCCGGCCTTGGATGGCGTGTCTCATGGGAACTTTGGGGTCCCGACCTCGGAGGTGCCCGGAGCCCATAGATTCCATAGATTCCATAGATGCCTAAGAAGCTTGGTGCTTTCCACGAAAAGTTGGTAGCTTTTGGCTCTAGCATCTTCCGCTTGGATAGATGGAGAGCTTCCCGTCGGGGGACCTCGGCGGTCGGCTTTTGGTCGCCGCATATGGGGCCGTTTCACTACATCACTGGTGTCAGCGTCTTCTCCGCCTCAGCAGTGTGACCGACGAGTGCCACTTTTACCTGGACATCCTGACAAAAATCATTGGGGAGTCCACAGTGGTCACTGAGGAAGGCCAGTTGCGGGTGCACGAGCGCCGCCGAATTGCGTTGAAGCAGAGACTTGGGATTCCAGCTTCCTTTGGGCTCAAATGGTCGGCTTCCTTTGGGCTTCCCTTGTAGCATTTAAAAAGGAGGACCCAATCGGGAGACTTGACTTCCGTCCAACGCTCTCCAAGGATTGCAGCGCTTTGGTCCCTCGTCCTGGACACCTTTTTGATCTCGCTTTTCGCAGCTCAGAGCGCAGTGCGCGGGACATTTGAGCTTGTGCGCTTTGCAATCCCAGGCATCACAGGTCCTCGGCCTGGTGAAGCCAATGGTCGGCGGCTTTGCATTTTTCGCCACAGTCTCGACGGGGAGCATAGTTCTCAGCAGGCCCAGTGACTTTGGCTGTCGAGCCGCTTCGGCCTTGCCTTACATCTGTTCATTCCCCACTTGGCCTATTCGTTCAGCTTTGCTCACATGCAGATGTGCAGGTTGGGTGACCCGCATTTGGAGCTGACCCCTGCCCGATTGAACCGGGACATGACGATCATGAGCTTCCTTGTGTGCCGTGGCAATCCTTGCCAGGCCGAATGTGAAGTGTCCTTTGCGCCACCTCAGTTTTTGACGCTCTTCCGGGCACAAGTTCGCAACACATGCATGCAAATGAAGTGCATATCTACAACTGTGGATTATTATCCCTGCAGCACGCACGCCGTTTGGATCGCCCCTTGCCAAGGTTTGGGGCTACTTTGGGCATGCCGCGCGAGCTGATGCCGGCATGCTACATGGCGCGGATGCTATGCTTTAGCTTTACCACCCGCCAGCTTAGCAACAAGGCCCGCCCTCTCTCTCTCTCTCTCAAGTGTTGGGCGCTTGTGCTTGCATTCAGTGTGCATGTGGGGCGATGTTTGAAGCTTGCGCAGGTGAACATCATGCTTGCGCCCTTCTACTTGATGTCGCATTGGATAAACACACCGCCGGATGCACCGATGGAATCGTTGCCTTGGCATGGACAGGAAGATTACCGATCCAGGGTTTCCTCTCAAAAGCGCGCCAAGCCTGAGGCTGCTGTTCAATGTATTTGGTGAAATCGTGGCCGTGGCGCTCATGATGCTGATATTGACCAATTTGGACACCAAGGACATTGGCAAGTCACAGGCTCATCGAACCTCTCTGCTTCATTCACCTCGGTACTTTGGTACCTCCGCCAAGCAAGTAACGCAAGCAAGGCAAAGCCAGCCGCCTCCTGTAAAGACGGCGGGGTTTGGGGTAAATCGAAGTGATGCTTCGCGCCTCATAGTTGTGCCACGTCTTGGCACACTAAGCATCATTCGATTGATTGCAGAGGCGGCGTGCCTTGGCAACATCAGCCAACGGTTCGCAATATGCCAGCTCGAGGGTAGACTGTGGCAGCAGTCACTGTCTCGCAGGCAGTGGCGTGTCTTGTTCTGTTGTCACAGCTTCCATGGTTTTCACCTATGGGTTGACTCTTCAGTCGAGGGCCTGCGTTTGGAATCCCAAAGTCCTCACGTGTTGACTCCCTGACTCCCAGTTTCCGTCCAGCCTTCAGCACCCACGCCATGTTCGCTGCAAATTCTAAGTTTTGCTTCGGTTATTTCGGTTGGAGGATGTGAGCCTCACTGGATCCCTTCCCACAGGGATGTGTTCGACCTGGTCCTTTGCTTGGCTGGGCTACTGAGTTTACCCAGCGATATCTTGAGAACGAGGCTGTTGCACCGGCATCTCTCATTTGCGTTTCGCTTTGTCATGGCATCGAAGCCATGAATATGTGAAGTGAAATAAATGAGCCCGGCAGTTCGAATATCGACCATCAGGAGACCCAGTTAGCCAGTGCGACTTTGGAGCTGGAGGCAAAGGTGGAGCAGGTGGAGGAGGCAGACACCTGACCTTTTGACCTTGCTCAAATCTGAAGCTATCCGATGGGTTTTGGCATGTTTTGGCAATGCACGCCTTGCAACTCCATGGGGTTTGGACGGGTTGGACGTTGAATGATGTTGATTTAGGAAAGGGAAGGAGGCGCCGCCCAGCGGCTCTTGTCGGTGACCTGCGATGCCTTCGTGCGCCTGACCCACGAGTTGAAGATCAAGACGCCCTCAAGGAGCTTGTTCGATTTGCTGATGTGCTGCTTGGCGTAAAATGGCTGTGGGTCAAAATATGTACCCAAAACGGAACCCTGGTAAGTGGAAACATGAACCAAAACCTGCGGTCCCCTGGTGGTTTAATTTGGACCCATACCCAAATGGGAGTCCTTCCAGCCGGCTGGAAACAGGGGAAGCCAAGGAGTCAAACAGAAAAGCAAAGAATTGTGAGTCTTGAGCCCCCGAAGCTCGAAAGAGGTAAGCTGTGTAGCCTGCACGTACATAGACAGCTTGGATGAAGCGTCAAGCGAAGTCGAGCTTCCTGCCAGCAGCGTCCGCAGCATACGGTTGAAGGGGTTATTCAAACCACTGGCCCGGATGTCTCAGGTGTCGATTGTGCATTGTACCGGGAGGTGAATTCTCGACTGCTCACAGGTTGGCAAACCACCCTGTTTGGGACATGCTTTGGGGTTGGCCTTCTTGCACGGGGGCTTTACCTTGTAACAAGATCGAACACAATTTCCTATCACTAAAAGGGCAATTTGGGTCGGAAAGTCCCGGATGCAACCATTTTGTTGACCTTCAACAGGCCATTTGCCACGGAGTTCGCTCGCTCGCACATCGACAGCGCTGAGCAACAGATTTGCCGAGCCGTACCGAGGTCACTTCGGCTCGGGTACCGTAAACCAGCTGGAAGGCACACCCTTTATCCGATACATTGCCCCAGCCGAGCACCAGCGATTCAAAGACTTTATCGACGAATCCTCCAAAGCTTCAGCACCCCCGCGGTCTTTGCATATTGACATGAAGGACTGGGCCAAGCCAGGCTTGCAGGGACTCAGGGCACATCAGGGCACATGGCACATGGCACATCATGGCGCATTGATGTTTCAGAGAGTCCTGACAGGATTCCAGCGGCGTGACTTTCAGTGCGGAATTGTTTCATGTGACAGTTCCAAGTCTGAGCGGGGAACAAGAGCACCTGACTCCTGCCTGCAGTTTGCGCCCGCAAAGTTGCAAATGTCTTATTTAGACTTGAGTCAGGCACAAGTTCCGGAACCGTGGGGAGGCAATGACCGGCCTGAGGGAACTGTGATCATGCCGTGGGCCGTGTTTGACCCAAACCTGAGGATTGGCATCTCGAATGACAACACTGATCAGTATGCAGACCGATCTGGGCGGGAGTCAGTGGCAACCTTACATGACATTTGCCGCACGCGCTTTTGGACTAAGAGAGCAACCCCACGGTGCAACAACCAAGTTGGAGTACCTAGGATTCAACTGATTCAACATCCATAGATGGAAACAACTCTCGCTCTTCCTCGTTCCTTTCCCTTTGTAGCGTTATTATTATTATTACTATTCATAATATGTATATATATATATATATATATATATTTGTATAAATAGGTGTGTGTGTGTGTGTGTGTATGGTTTGCACTTTGATTGGTCATTTCCAAGGCCAACACTCAGCTGTCGCCCAGCTGGAATATTCCCCAGCCAGAACAGCAGAGCTTTGCGGACGCGAAATCGTTTAGCGCCCAAATGGACATGAAACACATCCTGGGGCAGCTCAGCAGGAAGGGTGCTCCATGTTTGGGTGTTGTAAGGTGTTCTTTTTTGTTTTTGTTGTTTTGTATTTGTTATTCTTGGGGGGGGTCCAAAGAAAACACACACCCAAAGAGGAAGGACCATGAACGATGGAAGTTTACGCACTGAATGCCCATTTTTCCTGGGGCAATATGTCTTGGCCGTCCATATCAGGCATAAAAATAGATCGATGGTCAGTGGGGAGGCATGGGGACCCACGAGATTTCCCCAGAAACCAGGGACGGATTGTGCCGACCTACCGATCCGGCACGCGTCTCCAGGTATGGGGTGCTGTCGGGCAAGGTTAGTCAAGGCAGCCGCGGCAGCAAGAGCAGCAAGAGTAGCAATAGCAGCGGCAGCAGTCGAACCTTGGCATGGCTTTGGCTTGGTTTCTTACATCTCCGTGCTTGACATAGGATTTGCCAAGGAAAGGCAGACCTGAAGAGACTGCACAGCCTCAGTAGCATCGGCATTGTGATCGATGCAACGATGCTTGGAAGCAACAGGTCAGAGTGCAAGATTGTGCAAGCAGACCCCTTCGACCCAAGGGACACCAACCATGATTTCCTCATCCGCTCTTTGACGCTGAGCTTCTCCTCGCCGGCGCAGTGTGGCAAAGAACTACTGCCCAACTTGATGGAATGGCTGAAGCCAAGTCACAGGCAGCTAGGAATTGTGAGAGAAGTCTGACCTTGCTTGATTCACATCTGGTTGTTTGGAAGGGCCAATTGCAGACTTCCGAGAGAAATGTTCACTTCGCCGAAGGCAGAACGTGTCCAACTGGATACAGTCCCACGCCAACGCGCACTTTGCCGGGCGTCCTTGCCAGGAGCTCGCTGCGTTGCGCGCAAGGGTCCCAAACTGCTGCGTGGGCCGAAACGAGCGTGCAAGGAGCCCTCATTGCGGGGCACCAAGATGAGCTCACCGTTCCCATCCACCTCCACTTTGCTGATTGGGGAGCTGCTGGTGCGCGAGGTCAAGGCTCGAAAATTCCCGCATGCCTGATAGACAGAGAGAGAGGGGAAAAAAAGAGCAGAAACGCATGCCTGATTCCATTGCGAGTGAGGATGAGCTTGACAGCGCGGAGGGTTCGGCACCGTCTGGGGCATCCTCGACACCTGAGATGCGACCTGGTAGCCAGCGTGTCCGCCCATGCTAATTTTTTGGGCCTTCGAAATGACCAAGGTACGTGGACTTGGAGCTTCGACAAATTTATGCACACTGACGGGCCTACGTGCGCGTCACCCCGTCTCACATCGGCAGCAATTGGTTGTAAATTGAACCAGCTACCAGGCAATTTTCAGTTGGAAAAAGAGGAGGGGTCCATCCAGTGTCTTGACAATTGGCAGCCAATGCTCACCGTGTCCTTGTCTTCGCAGCTCTCGCCCAGGTCTTGGCTTACCACACTCCACCGCCCGCCTTGACCCGAGTATAAGCCCTGCTTGGGCGACACCTGTAGCCTCAAGCGCACAAGGTGGCAATCTCGTTGGGCAGCCTCAAGCTGTTCTCGACAGCTGCCTGGGTACATCGGCAAGGGATATTTGATGTCATTCGGCGCTTGCAAGGTGGAGCGTGGCAAATGCCAGGTGCCGCCGTTGTTTGGGGTCGCTGGCCTGTTGATCAGCACTCTCTACTGGCTGCGCGTCGCCCAGAATGGTCGAAGCTGCAGATGCTTTGCCGGTTCCCTCGGTTGCATTGAACAAAATGAACCTCCTCCAGTTGCTAGCTTCAGGTGTCATGCAATCAATAACCTAGCTTGATAGGGTGGCAGAGCTTGCTCAACCGCTTGTTTGAGACACCGTGTTCAATCTTGCTTTGGTTTTGCATGAGCTGAGCATCGATGATGCCCTGGAGATCCCGGAGTCTCAGCGCTCTCCGCGGGTAGCTGAGGGATTGGGAAGTTGGAAGGGCTGTGTGAGAAGATCGCGCACGAAGTTGAAGCTTTTTGCGAAGTCTATTGCGCATAGAGGTCCGGCGTGCAAACGCTCACGGCCGTGGCGTGCTTTGCCGGGCCAGCTCAGGGGTGAGGAGGGAGGCCATGTGCCAGATTGACTTCCTGCAAATCAGACTGTCACTGTTGATTGCGAAACGACGCTCAACGTGCAACTTCAGAGCTGAGGCGGCCAACTATGTGGCCAGCGGCCTGCTCTCTTCTGGCAATGTGGATGTAGGCACTTCAACACATGTGACTGGATGGGGGGCTTGCGGACCGAACACGCTTCGTGTGATGTTGACTCTTGGTGTACTCGTTGGGTTTCGTGCGGTCATGCCCAACCGCTCAGCATTTGCTCGAGATCAGCAGAAAAGATGCTGGCTTACACGTCACGCTTCATGATATGCATTCAAGATGGGGAATTGCGGACGACAGAGCAATTGACGCTTTTCCCAATTCAAATTAGTGGCATTCCTCAACTTGTTGCATCAGTGCTCGAAGCAGCGCACCTCTGCCTCGGACTACAGCAATGGGCGGCAAAGGCAGTGGCAAAGATGGCAAGCCCAAAAAGAGCAAGGGCAAAGGAAAAGGCTACGATGGCAAGTCTTCCTGGGATGAGGCGCAATCCAAAGCGGCACCCAAGCTGACCCTGGAAGACTTGAGCCGACCCCGGCCTCAGAGAAGTGTAGCAGCCTTCCCACATATCACAGTTGCGGCCGACTGGCCTGAGACTCGGGCACCGCGCTCTGGCTCGGCCTTCTACTTGCCGTTGATTTGGAGCGCGCTGCTGCCGCCAGAGACGCCACCCGAGAGGCCGGAAGATTTGGAGACAGCGGCGGTGGTGCAGCTGGCTACGCTGGGGGATGAGAAACATTTCGGGTCTGCACGGCGTGCATCCCTGGCCGACGTGTGGCAGGCGCAAGTGTATTGGCGCCAGCTCTTCTCCGCTTGGGATGACTGGGTGCTCCGCATGCGGCAGGCCATGTCCAGATTTCAGTGTGAAGAGGGCCAAGGCTTAGAAGCCTTGGTCAAACGTCATGTCCAGCAGGTCTCAGTGACCGCAGGTGCTCTGGTCTATGGAGACCTGCAGGTCTTGGGCGCATTGCCGCACATCAGCAACGCTCGGCGCTCTCCAGATCAGGACGCAATTCTGGAGTTGGACCTTATGCTGAGGCTGGAAATCGAGGCGGCTGTGCAGACGCTCTTCTTGCCGTGATGGCTCAGTCGCGAGCGGTCCCCGCCCATGCTGTGCAGAAACTTTGCGGGCGACCTACTCCAGTGCAGACCGCGCAAGAGTCCGACTGTGCAGAAAGAGGTGCCTGCTCTGCTGCTAGTCGCTCAGCCCATGGCGATTCTGCGCGAGGTTGCGTTGGTTTTGCTCCGGAGCCCCACGCGCTTGCGCAGGCATCATCGCCGCGATCCTGGCCGCGTGGGCGGTGCTTGCCTGGCAAGTCTTCGATGCGGAGGCCCCAGACGCAGGATTGTGGCGAGAGCCGGCCATTGCTTTGCTCCAGTGGTGGGCTCACCTAGCAAGGATCGTTCCCTAGGTCCGTTTCTCCAGTTGGAGCATTGCATGTGTTAAATTGTCAGCGCGGCACGATGTTGCTAATCGGCCAGGTGGGGTGCAAAAGAATTTGGGATGTCCCAACCCTTTTGTAGTTCTAATTTGTAGTTCTAAAGGGAGACAACCATTTTTTACTCATGGTCAAAGCCGAGCCACCGAGTGAAGCGCACAGTGGTGTGTTCTGCCGTCACACAAAGAAAGCTGTGAGCCCGCTGAATCTTGAATAGAGACCCAGGGCACAACCACGGGCTTGTTGGTGTCCGCTTCAGCCTCAGTTGTTCAGTGTCCACATTTCTTCTGCCCAGGAAGCTGCTGCAGTTGTGCACTTGAGGTTATGACCGCTGTTGGTGGTACATTGATTGAGGCATGCCCCCTTGCTCCCCTCAAAATGCGATTCTTCACATGGCAGGTCTTCCTCATCAATGCTCCTTGGTGGGACCTCTACGCTTACGCCAAGGCGGATTGTTTCAACACCAGTGCGCAAGCCCACACATTGCGTGCCAGGCCGATTGGTTTGGAGTGGACAGCTGGACCGATTATAGCTGTGGCATGTTATGTTGCAACTTGTGATCAGTTTCTGCATACCTCGCTTTCTGACATGCCGCCTGCATGTTTTCTTGCCATTGGTGGCTGCCTGCAGGATCCCATGGGTATATTTTTGCGGAGCGCCAGCAGTCGGATGCGTTTCGCGCTGGATCCGCATGAGGCCAAAGTGAAAAGAAGTTTGTTTGACAAGCAATGACTGGTCAAGACGCAACTTCCGATTTGTAGGAATGGAGAGGAGGTCGTGTTTGAATCGTGGTCCTTGCGAATAGAAACTTACAAACAGGTTTGAGGCGCGGCATGGCGACGTGGCAGTGGACTAGGCTGAAAATCCTCACGGCTCTCGTATAGAATCTGCGAAGGGCACCAGGCTTGAAACGAAGCTAGGCACAAAGGACTGTTATGAGATGGAGCCCAGTGATCGAACCCATCTAAGCCCAACTAAGAGCTACAATAGTCACTGCCAAGGGGCGTTCAGAAAGTCGCATTTCCCGGCAATGGCAGCAAACCGCGCAATACCAAGGCGCGGGGTGGAAGCCCGTTCAATTCGATTCGTAATTTCAGGATTGTCTTATGGACAAGAAAGCTGGGGGCCCCCATGCGCCTAAGAGTTTTTTGAGGGACCACTTTGGCGGCCGCAAAAAAGATTGACTTTTCTTGACAACGCACTTCCTAAGTGTATTGGCGATCCGCCTTTGGGGGCTCAACGTAGCGTAAAAATTCAGAGGGCGTTGTTTTTGGGGACTCCTTTTATTGTTGGCGCCTGGTTGGCCCCCGCCCAACGTGCCCGACTGGACAGTCAGACTTGGCTTTTTGGGGGGTTGGCGTCGACTCCTCTACTTGCCAGCTGACTACCGTTGTCTTCCGCATTGCCAAAGCAAAGATCATCAAAGATCCCAATACGTTGCCCAAATTGGCTGCCTTTTGTTTTGGACTTGCTTTCAGGCTAAGCGTTGAACGTGTTTTTCCTTTTGCCGCCTTGTGCCTTCCATCTGCCTTTTCGCATGGCTTCAAGTTGATCTGCCGGTTGCCCTGTCTAGGCTGACTTAGAAACAGCGAGCTATTCGCGCCCCCCTTCACATTGAGGTGCCCAAGCACTGTGCTCGGTGCGCCTAACAATTACCTTGAAGGATGCAATTATGTACCTTGCTTCAGGCCCCCAACAAACAAGGCTTTGCATTTGTTATTTCGCACTGTCTTGTTTTCTCTGAACTCTTTGAGGCGGCTAAACAAACCTGGACGACAAACAGAAGAAATGCCAACCTACCCTGTTCCGCGTCATGTTGCCCGCGACAATCTGCCAGGCCGTGCGTGCTTCATCAATGCATTCCGGCATGCCGGCTCAGGCTGAATGAGCTTCACGAAGCTGTCGCCTCGCAAGATGCAAAGCTGGATTGCGCAGAAAGAGGGGCAGAGATCAACACGCTGGTGACGGGTGCACATTTGCCAGCGCTACGGCTGTAGAGCTTGCCGGGCCGACAGGCATCATGCAGCTGCCACAGAGGTCCGTGCCTGCATGTTGGCACGCTGTCTCTCCTTTGCGCGGGCGGGCGTCAGATGAGCCGCCTAGCACGTTGGATTGAGAAGCGTGCAAACTCACACCAGTTGAAGTCTGCTTTGCCTCGCACGTTTTCCAGAGTACGCCTCGTCTCCGGTTGCGAGGAAACGCGAGGAACGCTTGGGGAGCACATCTCTCCCCGAAACGTGTGCCGCAATGTCACTGTGTTTTCGTTTGTTTTCGTTCGGCTCCATCATTGAACTCCGGTTACTGCCCAGCTTTGCAGCGCTGGGTGTGTGCGTCAGCAACAGCTTCAAGTCATGAAGCGAACTTAGCTTGGGCTACGTACGGGCTAGTGTCGCAGCAGTTCACCAGGTGTTGCCAGCAATGGTGCATAGCTTTAAGCACGCGCGAAATGCGGATTATCAACGCCCAGCATTGAACTTGGAGCTTGCTGAAGTGGTGCCAGCCGCGTGGATTGGCGGCGGGCCATTTCTGCTGTTGGCGCTGATTTGTTTAATGTGGGCCGATTTGCTAGCAAAGGTGCAGCTATCACAAGACGAAGCCCAAAGGCATCAAGAGGCAAAGCAGGACTGCAAAGAAAAGGAGAGACTGAGCGAGCAAGAGGGAGAGATTCACTGTGCCTCATCGTCCTTGCTTGCAAAGTGGCATGCTGTCAGGAAACAGGGCTCTCCTTTCCCCAGCAGTCAGATGAGCCGCCCAACACATGGGATTGGGAAGCACAGCGTCAAATCCCAGACACTCCAATG